GACTGGTTCCAAGGGTGAGATCAGGAAGCAGTGTAATCTCGCCAACAAGATGCATTGAAAAGAGAGTGAGAAAAAAGAGAGCCTCTTTTGTGTGTTTGGGGTTCTCTTTGCACTTACTTGGCATCGAGCCAAGATAAATAAAGAAATCTTTTTAAAAAGTTAAAATCAAATGAAGTGATGATGATGAATGCATCATGGTGGTGACCACATTCCTCTTTGTGTGTATTGTTGTTGTAGCCTTAATGCTTTAATTATGATGTTGGTGCTTTGATTTAATTAATCTAAATGTTGCTTCTTTGTTGATTTTGGATTTGTGGTGGGGTTGATGGAATGGATGTATGATATGATGGATGGTGTTTGGGTATTATGTCTATGTAATGTAATGATAAGTTAATGGTGGAATCCTACTTTAATCTTTGATTTAATTTCACGGATTAGTTTACACCAATATGGTGAAGCAATGAATTAGATATAGTTGGTGTATTAAGGAGATTGCCCAAAGATCTCGGGTTCGAATCTGAGAAGGAACCACTTAAAATGATATTGTTCCCTGATCCAAGAAGATGAATTAGCTACAATATTATTAAAATTTGAATAAAAAAAGAAAAAGAGTATTTTTTTGAAATAATGAATGTATTGAAATATAAAATTAATAAAATTTGAGTAAAGAGAAGAGATAATGGGTATTTTTGGAGAAAAAGAGTGTCAAAAGTATCAAATAGTTAATATTTTTAAGAGAAAAATAGTGTTTTAAATAATTTTATATTTAAAAAAAATATAAAATTAATAAAAATTGAGTAAAATGATGAAAAAAATCTATAAAGTTAAGTAAAATGAAGAGAAAATATATTTTTAATAATTTTATATTTAATGATATCCACGTTGTATCATGGATAATGATGGCCTAAGAGCATCTCCATCCATAAGATGTAGTGGGTATCATTAGATATAAAATTATTAAAATTTGAGTAAAAGGAAGAAAGAGAATGTTTTTAGTTGAAATAATGGAGTGTATTGAAATATAAAATTAATAAAATTTGAGTAAAAAGANGAGATGAGTTGATACTTTTGGAGAGAGAGTGTCTTTGTATCAATGGGTTGATACTTTTGGAGAGAGTTTAAACTTTAGTTTGGATGTGTTTAAATATAAAATTAGTAAAAGTTGAATAAAAAGATGAAAGAGAAGGTATAAAGTTGAGTAAAAAAAAAAAGAAAATATGTGTTTTAATAATTTTATATCTAATAATACCCACTAAATCTCATGGATGGAGATGCTTTAGTTGTCCAACAAGTATGATATATAATATACACCACTGGACAAGTGCCAAGTGGATATGATGATAT